CCCCAAAACCCCAAAACCCCAAAACCCCAAAACCCCAAAACCCCAGTTAATTCAGCTTAAGTTGAATTTTACAGAAACTTTTATGATCCATACATCTGATAAGTGTGATATGTAATAAACATTAGCTCTACCAACTGTATAGAATACAGTGCATTTCTAGATACCTCAGAGTCAGGAATTATCAGCATGAACAGAGAAGTCTGCACCATTGTGATTATGATAAACAATTTTATTAGGTAGAATTTCTTCATAATTGCATATTCCTTCAGGATTCCTAAGTTCAAAGTCAGGATATACCTCAGGATAAGGTAAGTACCTATTATAGTCACCAGAAAGCCCATTGTTCTGAAAACTACTACTGTAAAAGGCTCTTGGATATATTTTTCAGAAATAACTTCGATAATTTTTAGAAGGGGTTTTACAATCCACAGTCAGTAAATTCCGGCCATACTTTGGCATATGAAACTATTTGATTCTCGGTTTGGTTTTCAAGGCTATAATTTAAAAAGAATTCTTACTCTTTCTCACAGGAAATCATCAGCATAGATTTGGTACAATCTTTATTTTCCGTAATTCTGAGATTAAGCAATGATCAATAGCTCTTTGAGGAGGAGAAAATTTTGTTGAAAACAAGTCTTCAGGATTAAGAGAGTCAGAAAATTCACTTAATGGCTCTGCACTTTCACTATTAAGAGTGATACTTGTTCAAGTAGAAGCTGGATTTTTAGAGGAATTCATCCTATTAGATTTCTCATCTTCCTCTTCTTCTTGCTCCAAAAGAGGTTCCATTAAACTTGAAACTCTCAGATTTCCTGTGCAATCCTTTGTGACATCACCTCCTTGCTCAATACGACTGATTTGGGGGCTTTGTTGTGTTTCTACTTGCACACTTGAGTTGAGTCTGTTATAATTACCGATATTTGTAGACTCAATATCCCTAAAACTCATTAGCTCCAACTCTTCAGCATCAGCATTTGATGCAGGAGTGTAGTTAACATATGGGTTGTCCACAAGACTATCAAAAGAGTTATAACTTGATATAAAATTGCCTCTTACAATAGGATCGAGAAGCATGGACTCTTTCATAAACTTATCCCTCTTATTTGTTATACTTGGGATCTCTATCAGTGAAGTTCACTGGAATACGGTAAGGTTTCCTGTTTTGAACAGCCTGAAATATGTAATAATACTCATGATCCTCTTTTTGTGGCCTTTCTTCATTGAATTTCATGTCATGATTATAGCTCGGCTGGTTGTACATCTCAGAAAGTGACGAAATTTGGTGTATAAAATACAGTCAGTTTTTCAATAGCTGAAAGAAAGAAAACACTCAAAAGCCTACATATACCTCAATAATGATGTTTAAGTAAGCATTGATGACAATATAGATATTGCCAATGCTAACTCAAGTCATTATTATCACAGGTGTGACAATTATAATGACTACAGGGTACTCTAGAAGGAAAATAGAATACTTCCTCCTCACAAGAGTCACTACCGTGATTGATAGGATACCCAGGGAAACTAAGATTTTGAATAGAAGAAATCCTATTCAAAAGACTTCCAACACAGTCTCGTCCATAATTAATATTGTATAATATTCCTAGAGGGGTTTTGGGGTTTTGGGGTTTTGGGG